TTATGATGATGAGTATGATAATTACGATGATGAATATGATAATTACGAAGGTGAATATGATAATTACGAAGGTGAATATCATAATTACGATGGTGAATATGATAATTACGATGATGAATATGATAATTACGATGATGAATATGATAATTACGATGATGAGGAGGAAGATGACAACACAACCACACAAAACAACACAACCACCAGACCAAGTAATGTTCTGCCATCAGGGTCTATGGCGTCGACACTGGCACCCCAGAACAACAACATCTAAAAAGACGATGGGTGGGTTTCATCTTACATTATTGCCGTTAACCAATTAATAAACGATTTATTGAAAAAAAAATTAGACAAGATCCATCAAAATAACAAAACTGACGAGAAAAAATAAACAAGTTTACGAGAAAAATTTAAAAAATGGTACCATGGACATCTTTGGACAAATTACAAAACTGAAATAATGAATGGAAATATTGCGAGTTAAGAATCGAACCTTAACAACAGAAGCATGCCCCATCATAACCGCCCAGTCAATGGCGGTCCTTCCTTCGACGTCTTCCCAATCCACGTCCGCATCATGCTCCAGGAACACCTCACACATCTCCGCCTTCCCGTCACAGGCGGCTACAGTCAGTGCGGTCACTCCATCGACGTCTGCCACAGTAACGTCGGCTCCAGCTTCTAGTAACACATCGACAATGTCCATTTTATTTTTTTCGTTCGACAGATTGGGATCCATGTCGGAGCTGACGCCAGAGCATGCGACGATCAAGGCGGTTCTTCCTTCCGGATCGATGAGGTTTGGATCGGCACCGAACGCCAGGAGAAGTTTGACGATGTTGAGGTGGCCGAGGTAGCATGCAGACATAAGAGGCGATCGTCCGTCGTCATCTTGTCTGTCCACCAGAACTCCGGCGTCTAATAACTGCTTGACGATATCTTCGTGGCCACACCAGCAGGCAGCACCTAGCGGCGAGCGTCCTCCAACGTCGCACTTATCTGCATCTGCTCCAACTTCTAGAAGTAGTCTCACGCACTCTAAATGACCGCCCCACGATGCTGCTTTCAACGATGACCAGCCCTCAAAGTCGACACTGTCATAATTGGCTCCGGCCGCTAAAAGGATTGAAACAATTTCGTGGTGGCCGTGTCGAGAAGCGAGCATTAGGGGGGTTTGGCCCGTCTTCGGGTCTCTTCTCTCCAACATATCGGATCCTGTGGCGTCTAAAAGTAGCTGAACTAACTGGGAATTTCCTTGAAAAGCTGCCGAGGCCAGGGCACTGCATGGTTTGGTTTTGTTTCGCTGAGAAGATGAAGATGAGTCTTGATCGCATTGGTCGTCTAGGTCATCATCAAATGCATTGTCCAACTGATCAGACGGCAAGACGTCGCCACTGAAGCTACTGACCATCAGATCTTTATCATACGAATCAGCTACTTTTGCTCCTGCCTTCGATAGAATTTCAAATATCAGCGGATCTGCAAAAGCGCCATCTGTGGTTTCTAGTTTGATACCAGCCAGATCAATTCGACTGTAGAGTAACATGAGAGATAAATGGTAGGGCTCCAGTCTGAAGTCTGACTTTAGGAGATGTTGTGAGAGCTCGTACACAGCATCGTTAGATATCCTAGTCTTTTGTAGGCTGGCCACCATGCTCAGAGCCAAAGAAGCGTGTCCGTCAGACAACTTGCAGAGAAATCTCCTAGTGCAATATTTCACGTCCAGTGACCATTCAGAAAAACTATGATGAAAGATAAAAAGTTTTAAGCTGTCATCCGTCGAGAAAAATTTTTTCTCGTGCGGGAATTGATCGGACAGTAGAATGAATCTAGCGGCATACAATCTCTCGTCAAAGTCTTGTTTTGAAATTGCGTTACTAAACCTCGTGTTAATAACTTTAAATAAATTATCAGCTGTCAGATTCAACTCAGAGTGAGCAAAAATAACAGAAAGTAACGGCTTGATTAGATTGAAATGGACCCTGGTGAATAACTTTTGGCACAACCAGAGGTAAAATCCGTTCAGCGTGCTTGGGATGTCTCTGATTTCTTGCAGAGGAACCAGCCCATAAGCGACGATGTCTAAAGATTTTTCTAAATACAAGAAACAACCGTCACTTTTGATGTGAAGTTGGTTCAGCATCTCAGCAGTTTTCCTATCCAACTGTTGCTTCAGTTTGTCGTCCTTGTTCAACCTATGGAGAATGTATTGTTGGACGTCTCTGACTACGTGTGATTTTCTCAAATCATCTAACCTTTGTGCGGGGTTTGTGGGGGTTATATAGAAGGTTAAAGGTCATTCTCAAGGTTAAGGCATTAAGGTTACGCAATTTTTATAAAATTTTAATTTTTGAATGTTAAATTTATGTAACTTAAATTTAACTAAACTACATCTGAACAAAAATAAACACACACACAAAATAAACACACACACACACTCACAAACGCACATTAACCAACTAACCTAATTTTTTTAAACCCTTCAAAAAAACTTCCATGCTTTCTAGTAGTGCAGATTAACTTAAACCAAGATGGGAATGACGACTGATTCCTAACTAACAACTCCGATATGCACTGACTGGGGACATCTGAACTTCGATCTAGGGTTTTTAAGTCATCCAGGGCATCAATTAAAATTGAAAATCTACCTTCTGGTTTTAAACTTGATAAGGGTTTCAGTATATACTGGTTGAAGATCTCATCTAGGTTCGATTTGATTAGGTGAATTGGATCTGGAAGTGCGGCTTGGAAGTGTGATTTCAAAAAAGATTCATGCAGTTGCTGGTGTATGTTTTTTATGAAATCACAGGTCAGATTTGGATTGTTCTTCTCAAGAGATGGAGGTATGATGTAATAAGCAAGCAGGCTCTGTTTCAGTTGATTCTGTTTGCCGCCACTAATTGTTGGCCATAAAATTTCACAACAAATTGAGGTTTTCCCACTGCCTGGACCCCCAATTATAATCACACCTCTCTGATCCCCATCCAGACATCGTTGAATTTTATTGAAGACCCATTCCCGACAAATCACCTCTTTGCCTCTCAGCTGGCTGGTAAACATAGCTAACTTGACATCAGTCAGTGGAGTATAAAGTTATGTAAGTAAGACAGTTTTGTTTTTTTTGTAGTGTTTGATTTTGCAGCAGTAATAATAGTGTTCTCAGTATTTAATGGCATTTAATTTAATAAGTGCATCATTTTTCATCAGGTCATATTAGTTTTATTATTATTAATTTTTTTATCATACAAAAAAGAAAAACAATGCAAAACAAGCTTTTAATTTAAAAAAACTGAAATTATTTTATTTACTTAGTAATTAATTTTAATTGATTTTAATCTTAATCATACATTTAATTTTGAATTATTTTTAAATTAATTTTTTTCTCAGTGCAAGAAGCTGCAAAATGTCAATCGACAAACATTGCTATGTTACTTGCATAAGTACAAATTTTTAATTAATTGATTTTTTAAAATCATCAATTAAAAATCAAAGTAATTAGCGAAGGAATTTATTAAATTAAAAAATTAATTAATCGTCCCTTTAAAATTTAAATGCCCAAATATAAATAAACAGTGACGATGGCAACGTTTGCGACAGCCAGTATGGAAGGCTAATGTAACTTTATTTTAAGTAAAAAAAAGTTAGTAAATTAATCAAATTAACTATATTAAATTAAATATATTATCTTCACTATATTAAATAATGTAGACAAAATTTTTTGCGTAATTAAAACAAATATAAATATTTAATTAATTAATTTATTTAAACATTCTACAGACAAGCATTCAAACGCATTTGAAAAAATTGAACAAAGGGCACAAGAATCATAAAAATAATAAAATTATGATTAATATTCTCATGAATAATAATAAAATCTCTGATGATAATTAGTATTAATTTTGAAAAAATTTAAAACAACTGAAACAGAGCATTCAATCTCTGACACACGCTACCATACGCATAATATTCAACCAGAATAACCACACAAGAGCCAGTCTTACTCAAACAAATAGGCCATTTTATAAAAATAACCACAATATTTAAGATAAAATAATTAATATTATTACGAATTATAATAAGAATGATAATAAAATATTATATAATAATCGTTAGCTCGTTTTAATATCATGAAGCGGTTTCACTTTTGAATTTCTTGAAAGGCCTAGCCTTAGGCAGGAAGATCTGTCTTTAGCTGAATGTTTGAGTGTTTGTTTGTATGTATGTGTGTGTCTGTTTTAGTGCAGGTGTGTGTGTGTGTGTGTGGGTGTGTGTGTATGAGTTTGTTAAAGATATAAAACTTTTGTAAGATTGTGAGAAATTTATTAGAAATTAATTAATTGCCACCGCACACACGATCATGATCATCGTCATCGCCGTCATCAGCATCATTATCATCGAAATTAATAAATTTAATTTAATTTAATCAATAATTAATCTAAAAAATAGTAAAAAAGCTTCTCTTTAATAAAATTTTGAAAAAAAAAAACATTAACCTATACTTCCACGTTGGTAATTAACGTTTGCTGTAACATTGCTTTTGACTTTAGTAGTAGCAGTAGTAGCAGCAGTAGCAGAAGTAGTAGCAGCAACAGTAGTAGTAGCAATAGAAGTAAAGTTCCCGCATGTAATATTAGTAATAGCAATAGCAGATTGAGAGGCAGTTATATCATTTCTGTTATTGTAAGTCTTTTTATTACTATTTTTTCTTATGTTTTTATTATTATTACTATTATTAGTAGTGGTAGTAGTAGTATTATAACTAGTAGTAGTAGTAGTAAGAGTAGTAGTAGTAGTAGTAGAAGTAGTAGTAGGAGTAGTAGTAGTAGAAGTAGTAGTAGTAGTAGTTTTATTAAGACTATTGGATTTCTTATTTGTTTCGTTCTTCAAGACAGGTTTTTTGTGTTTATTTTTCTTATCAAAATCATCATCGTAATCTTCATCATCATCGGCATCATCATTTTCCTCATCATCAGAACTGCTGCAGCTGAAGTCACCATCATCATCATCATCATCATCTTCTTCATCATCATCGTCATCATCTGTCAAGTAATAAACAACGGTTTTAATGACACCAACACAACAACAACGACAACAACAACAACAACAACTATGACGGCATCATCATCAGGAACAGCAAAAATTTTTATCAACAAATACATCAACAACAACTACATCATCATTACTATTATCACCATCATGTCATCAGTATGATCATCATCATCGTCATTTCACAAAGACATTTTGCAACAGATTCCAATGACACATACAAACAAGCATACAAACACGCATACAAACAAACATACATACAAACACACATACAAAAAACATATATACAAACAAACATACAAACAAACAAACATACTGATACAATAACAACGTTTACAGTAAACCAACGACTTGGAGTGTGTTGCCTCTTGTTTGATTTAGTACTAAGGGATGGTTCTGTCTCTTTAGCATTACTTTTAATACTGCTTTTATTAGTAGCAATAGCGGTAACCACAGTAGTATCGGCAGTAGTAGAAGTAGTAGTGGTAGTAGCCACAGAAGTAGCCACAGTAGTAGTATTAGTAGTAGTAGTTGTTGTAGTATTGTTGATTGATAGGTTTTTTCTCTGCGGTTGATTGATGGTGGTTCGGAAATCTTTCTCAGCCATGCATTCATTCGTCAAGTCAACAACATCATTCTGAAGATTACCTAGTTGATTGGTTGGTTGATTGATTGGTTGGATAGTTGATTGATTGGTTTGTAGGTAGGTTGAATGATTGATTGGATAGTTGATTGATTGGTTTGTAGGTAGGTTGAATGATTGATTGACTAGAAAATATATTTATGGATGAATGAACAAATGGTTGATTAATAGAAAAATAATTTGGATTAAATGAATAAATAAATGAATGAATGAATGAATGAAAGATAGAATAAAAAACAAATGAAAATCAAACTCGTTTTTTTAAATTCATCTTGGAAACTATTTAGTTTAATTTTCTTCTTAGCACTTTCAAGGCATCTACCACTATTAATATTATTATTAATTTTATTATTATTTATATTAATTTTATTATTATTATTATCACTATTAATAATTTTATTAGTATTATTATTTTTAGTAAGATATGATTGTTTCAATTTATTATCTGGTCCTTTACATGTCTTTTGAAGGCTTCTACTCGTTGAAATGAAATCTGGAAAAAAAGAAAATATAGAAATAATATGAAATATTACAGTTAATAAGAAATTCTAACTCAGCAAACACACACACGTATACACATGAACAAACATACATACACAAAAACAGACAAACATACACACCTTCATCATCATCCTCTTCATTAGCAAGCAATGAAGCATAGTTAATTGGATTTTTTGACCTTTTCATAAATTATTTTCAAATTATTTATTTTTTTTTAATTTAAATTTTAATCAACTTTAAAATTGTTAAAGCATGTGTAAAATAATAAAATGCGTAATGTAATGTAATCTGTAAAAAAATGTTATGTAGTGATTTAACCTGGAGGATTTTCTTTCCGTCATTGATTGTTCTGTCTTAATTTAAATTTAAACAAAATTTAAATAAATTAAAATTATTTTTAATAAATATCCGAGCTCCTAAAAAAATGAATAGTTTGAGTTTATATTTTAAATTAACTTAATCATAAATAAGTTAATTTGTTTTTACAGCACTTTTACTTTTAAATCATAACAAATTATCTAGCGCTTAACTCATACATTTTTAACATATATACATAAATTTATATTATATAATGGAAGCTTTTCCAGTGTATAGTTGTATATTTTAAAATAATTAATGTTCGTATGTTGGTTTTTTTAAATAGATTGATAGATTTTGAAATTTTTAATCTAAACCCTGTTCTTTCTTTCATTTGTTCGTTCAGTCACTTCTCCATTCACCATTCATACATTTAACCAATCATATAATTAATCATTCCTTTATTCAGTCAGTTGATCAGACGATCAAAAAACTGAGCGAGTCAATGTTAACTATTGTTAGCTAGCAAATAGATTAGGATTAACACTTCTTTAAAAAGTGATATGTGTGTCAGTGTGTGTGTGTCTGTGTATGTGTGTCTGTGTGTGTGTGTGCTAGTGTGTGTGTGTCTTTGTGTGAGGATTAAGTTATTAGGTGACTTGTTATTAACAAACACGTCATTTTCGAAGTAATAAAGACATAATGCTCTAATTTGATTTATATGCTGTCTTTTTTAAAGTGAGGGTGCTAATTCACCCATCCATTAATTCAATCAATCATTCAATCATTCATTCATTCATTCATTCATTCATTCATTCATTCGTTCGTTCGTTCGTTCATCCTTGTATTTGTTCGTTCATTGATTGGTTCATTAATTCATTCATTCAATCAATCATCCATTCATTCATTCATTCATATTTGAAGGTTACTTTCATCCTACATATCTTTATATAAGAACACGCATAAATTTGTGTGTGTGTGTGTTTGTTTGTGTGTGTGTGTGTGTGTGGTGTGTGTGTATGTGTGTGGGTAAAATGTGTTGGAATTCTGAATTAATATGCCGTGCAAACATATCTTGGAATATGAACGAATATCTAAATATCTCCGTTCATCCGTTCGGCAAACACACACACACATACAAACATTCCACACACATACATACACACACGCACACACACGCACATTTCACACACGCACACACACACACAGAAACACATTTTTAAGAATTAAAATCCAAGTTCAAAAATGACTGCATTATCCCCCTTGCACTTAAAATTAAATGAAAAAAATCATACTCCGAATTCTATACTACTGCTAAATTACTTGTGCAAATAACACATTATTAAAAAAATGAGAAAAAGAAAGAGAAATTGAGAAAGAGAGAGAAAGAGAGAGAGAGAGAGAGAGAGATGGTGAAAAAGAAAGAGAGTGAGAAACATCGAACAAAAAATGAAAGAATTAATGAGAGATCGGATGAATACGATGAAAAATGATTTAAAAAGAAGGTAAAGGGCAAGAAAAAGAGGACAGAAAGGAATGAAAAAGACAGAGAAAGAAAGAGAGAGAAAGAGAGAGAGAGAGAGGGGGGGGGCGAAAAATGAGATCGGAAATGTGTGAAAAGCGAATGGAAAGTGCGAAAAAAAAGAGAGTAAAACGGAGAGAAAGAGAGAAAGATACAGAAACAGAAACATAATGAGAAAGACAGAGTGAGAGAGAAAGAGAGAGGGGGGGGGGGGTAAAAAAAGAATGTTGAATTCTTAGATCTATTTTTTTCCGTAATTGATCATTTGAGCACAAAGTATTATTTCATTCATTTTCTCACATCCATCATGCATCATACGATCAATCAATCATTCATTCATGCAGTCAGTCAGTCAATCAATAAAACAATTAAGTCAATTAATTGTTTGATAGGTCGATTAGTTGCTTGATCGGTCAGTTAATTGTTCAATCAATTAATCACTCACTCATTCAACAATTGGTCATTCAATCAATCATTCATTCATTCAGTATATTTCAATTCAATTCAATTCAAATAATCTTTTATTCAGTAAAGTATCAATAAATACATAATACTAGGAGACCCGAAGTTTGCACTTGTTGGGCCACCGAAACAGAAATTTGAATAAAATTCGAACAAAGATAAACAATAAGTGATAACAAGAAAGAAAAAAATAAAACCAAACAAAATAGTAATAATTAATCGACAAAAACCTCAGGAACCAAATGAAAACAATAACATAGTTACACGGGGAATTAACCGGTAATGAAAGAGGAAAAATGATTCGTTAAGATTAATTGATAAACTGATTTTTTAAATAAACCAGCAGTATTCAAATTTTTTACGTGAATTGGTAATAAGTCCCAAAGTCGACAAGAGACATAAAAGACGGAATTAATAAAAAAGTTAGTGCGAGGTTTAGGAAAATAAAAATCTATATTATGTCTTAAAAATATTGATTGATTATTGATTAAATGATTTAATTGGTGGCACAAGGAAGGACAAAAATTTAGTTTAAATAATTTATAAAAAAACATTAACGTGAAAAAAATGTGTAACTGGTAAACTTTTAAAATTCCAGATGATATAAACAAATGACTGATATGCTCAAATTTTGGTAACCCAAACAAAATACGAATAAAATAATTTTGACAAAAATTCAACATACGAACGTTAGATTTTGTTGTAAAACCCCAAATAGAAATACAATAGGTGAAAAATGGCAAAACAATAGAATTATATAGTGTTATTAAAATATGTCTTGGAAACCTTGATCTCAGTCGGTAAAGTATTCCTAAATTTTTTGTAGCCTTTTGTGAAATGAATTGAATGTGACTAGTCCAGGATAAATTGCTAGAGATGATGACACCTAAAAACTTTGTAGATTCAACCCTGTTAATGCAAACATTATTTAATAAAACCTGAATATCAACAACACTTGTTCGAATCTTAGGTCCAAATAAAATAAAGTTAGTTTTAGCTATGTTTATTCTTAAGTTATTAGCCAGAACCCAGTTATAAACGTTACGTAACTCTTCATTGAAAATTGATACCAATTGACTAACATTAAAATTAGAGAAATATATATATATATATATATATATATATACCGTATTTATACCAATCTCGACCATCACAACCCACACACACACACACACACACACACACACAAACAAACAAATTTTGAATCTAATTAGAATAAGGTAGATAGCATTACGTAAACATTTGCATGCAGGGAGCGCTATTATTATTGTTGTTGTTGTTGTTGTTGATTTTTTTATTATTATTATAGAATTTATTATTATTGTTGTTTTTATAATCGCTTTTTGTTGTTTTTTTCTTATATTAATAATGCTATCAACACTACTATATTTCATTTAAGGGTTTGTGTTTGAATGAATGTACGTATGTTAGTACGTATATATGTATGTATGTATGTATGTATGTATGTATGTATGTATGTATGTATGTATGTATGTATGTATGTATGTATGCATGTATGTATGTATGTATGTATGTATGTATGTATGTATGTATGTATGTATGCATGTATGTATGTATGTATGCATGTATGTATGTATGTATGCATGTATGAATGTATGTATGTATGTGTGTATATATAGAGAAAGATTCGGCTTCACACTGTTCAAATTCCTGTCATTACTTTATCCGTCGTCTGTGTTTTTAATTATTTTAAATTAATAATAAAAATAATAATTATCAGTGATGATATAATTAATAATAACAATAATAACAGCCACAATTAATTATAATAGTAATGATAATTATTATTAATTGATTAATTTTGGATTTATTAACATTTAATAATGTTTTCAAAATAATATTCTGGAAAAAAAACACATACACTGTGAGTTTTTGTTTTGTGGTTGCTGTAGTTGTGTTTATTGTAGTAGTTGTTGAAGTTGCAGCATTGGCGTTTGTTGTTGTAGTATTTGTAGTTGTTGTGGTAGCGTTTTTAGTAGTAGTTGTTGTAGTTACTGTAGTGGCGTTTATTGATGTAGTAGTTGAAGTTGCTGCAATGGCGTTTGTCGTTGTAATATTTGTAGTTGTTGTAGTAGCGTTTTTAGTAATAGTAGTTCTAGTTGCTGTAGTAGCGTTGTAGTAGGGGTAGTAGTAGTAGAGGTAGTAGTAGTAGGGGTAGTAGTAGAGGTAGTAGTAGTAGTAGTAGCAGTAGTAGTATAGTAGTAGTAGTAGAGGTAGTAGTAGTAGTAGTAGGGGTAGTAGTAGGGGTAGTAGTAATAGTAGCAGTAGTAGTAGTAGTAGTAGTAGTAGTAGTAGTAATGTCTCACGCGATTTTCACATTAGCAAGAGAGAGAGAGGGAGAAAGAGTTAATGTCTTTTTATGTCGTCTTTAATCTATGGCACAGATGTGGCTTTAGTGTTAGCAACGTATATGCGATATTCATTCTGTTCTTGTAGATATTTTTTTCTGTTATTGTTGTTGTTGATGTTGTAGAAGCTGCAGTAGTAGTAGTAGTAGTGGTAGTGGTAGTAGTAGTAGTAGTAGTAGTAGTAGTAGTAGTGGTAGTAGTAGTGGTAGTAGTGGAGGTAGTAGTAGTAGCGTTAGTTGAAGAAGTAAAAGCAGTAGTAGTAATAGTTTCATCATTCTTGATATCTCTAACTTCGCTTTATCAGATTTGAAGACAGTTAAAGAAATTGATTAGGCAGCCAGATCGTCATCATCGTCGTCAGCCTCCTACCGACCGACAACAGAACAGCGCGTCATCACTTATTTACAATGACGTCATCGTCGTCGTCATCATCTCCACTCCCACCATCGTCGTCACTAACGACAGCATCGCTAGTAAAGTTACGTGACAGCCACCGTGACAACTTCCGCTTCCGTTTCCGGCTGCTATTTCTTATTTATTTACTTCCGGTTTATTTTTGTGGTGACCTAGTTTTGGCGACGAGGAGTGGTGACCCAGTTTCGGTGGAGACTAAATACGGGACCATCCAGGGACTGAGGTTTCGCAACGGAATTGAAAACTTAACGACCTGTAAGCTGGCGATGATGATGATGATGACGATCATGGTTATGATGATGAAGTTTTATTTTTATTATCATTATTACTATTATTATTATTATTATTATTATTATTATTATTATTATTATTACGCATTCTTCTTTAGAATGTCAAGCTTCATAGAATATTCTAATTCTTAATTTTAAAACAGTTTTACTTTTATTAAATTTTAATTCATGATTTATGATGAAAATAAAATGATGTTCCCATTATTATTATTATTATTAATATTATTATTATTATTATTATTATTATTATTATCATTATTATGATTATTATTTCGCTGGTGATGATGACGACGACGATGATGATGATAGTTAACTTTCACTTAGAACGCTTTCCATGGCAAATTTTTCTAAATTATTGTTATGAATATTGTTATTATTTTTATTATTATCGTTATTATTATTTTTATTATTATTATTATTATTATTATTATTATTATTATGTCACAGTGACGACATTTTACGATCGATTCTACGGAATACCTTACGCTGAGCCGCCAGTCGGAGATCTAAGATTTGAAGTGTGGTGATGATGATGATGATGGTTGCGGTGATGATGATGCTGTTGGTGGTGGTGACTAGGGTTATAATGATGATGATTGTGATGATGATGATTTTGATGGTGGTAGTGATGATGATGCTGGTGGGGTTTCTTTTTGCTGGGGTTGTTGTTTTAGATAATGGTGAATGAATGTAAGTGATGACTATCGTTATCATAATTGTCATCATCATCATCATTAACAACAACAACATCATCATTATCGTCATCATCATCAACAACATCATCATCATCATCGTCATCATCATCAACAACATCATCATCCTCATCATCATCGTCGTCATCATCATCATCAGGCTCCTAGACCAGCTAAAAAATGGCCAGGCATTTTAGAAGCTATAGTTAAAAAGCCTAGCTGTCCACAAGTAACGATGATGATGATGACGAAGATGATGATGTTGTCGTTGAAGATGATAAAGATGTTGAAGATGATTATGATGGGGAAGACGATGATGATGATGATGATTATGATGATAATGATGTTGAAGATGATGATGATGATGATGTTGAAGATGATAATGATGTTGAAGATGAAGATAATGATGTTGAAGATGATGGTGAAGACGATGATAATGATGATGTTGACGACGATGATGATAATATTCCTGATGACGATGGTGAGGATGAAAATGACGTCACCGTCAGATAAAATATCCGGAAGAGTTTTTTTACGTGGACCAGAGCGAGGATTGCCTCTACCTCAATATTTTCACGCCACACGAGGTGATGATGACGATGATGATGACGATGATGATGATGATGACGATGAAGATGATGACGATGATGTGACGACGATGATGATGACGATGATGATGACGATGATGACGATCAGTGAAACTAATCACTAATAAAAAATATTCATCGATTCTTCATTAGTAACAATTTTCTAAAAAAAAAAATTCTGAAAACTTATTCGATCTTCTTCGCTCTGGTAGGAGTCGAATCCGGGCAAGACGTATCCGGTCATATTTTACATCCACGGTGGCAGTTACGAGTCCGGCTCGGGCCACATCTATGAGGGCAGGCTGCTGTCGCTGATGGGCGTCGTTGTGGTCACTATCAATTATCGACTGGGCGTTCTAGGTGAGTGAGTGAGTGAGTGAGTGAGTGAGTGAGTGAGTGAGTGAGTGAGTGAGTGAGTGAGTGAGTGAGTGAGTGAGTGAGTGAGTGAGTGAGTGAGTGAGTGAGTGAAAGAGAAAATATGAGCAAGTGAATGAATGAATGATTGGATGATTGAATGAATGAGCGAATGTATGAACGAACGAACGAACGAACAAATGAATTAATGAATTAATTAATCAATTAATGAATGAATCACGTTAAAATTATTTCACATTTCACCAACCATCTTTCTCAAAGGCTTCCTAACCACGGGCGACAGCCTACTTCCGGGTAATTACGGACTACGTGACGTCATGCTGGCCCTCAGGTGGGTCCACGAGAACATCGGGTCATTCCGTGGTGACGTCACAAGAGTGACCCTGGTGGGACAAAGTGTAGGGGGGTCCTTAGTGGGCATCCTAATGACCATGCCTTCAGCTAAAAGTGGGTTTTGTATATTTTTTGTTTGTTTGTAAACATACACATATAGACGAGTACATCTAAAAACATACAAACATATCGACAGACATGTGTGTAAATATACAAACATATATACAAATATATACAAACATAAAAACAATTTATTCAAAAAGATACAAACATAAAAAAGTATATAGAAAAATGCATGCAAATTTATCCAGAATCATACAAAGCATTTTGTCGACAAACATTTCGGCAAATATACAAAGTAGTTTCCCCTGTTTTTTGATAATATTTTCAGTAAATATACATACAAACACAATTAAAAACATTCATGAAAACATTAAAAACATTTGTACAAACATACATACAAACAAAAACCAACAAATAAAAATATATACAAACATACAAACTGACATATACACAATAAAGCAATCTAGGTTTGCTTAAAATTACATTATACACATAAAAACATACACAGATGCATAGAAAGGTACACAGACACACAGACACACACATGCGTATTTATATAGCTCATAATGGCTTGACATTGATTGAAGTTTTGTCATAAGTTATTTAGTGGCCGTCGGTGCTTGTTTTTTGTTTGTGTGTCTGACTGTTTGTGTCTGTTTGTTTGTGTGTCTGACTGTTTGTGTGTCCGTCTGTCTCTTTTTTGTGTGTTTGTGTGTTTGTATGTGTACTCGTTTGTTTGTATGTTTGTTTTTTTCATGCCGACTTATATTGGCGTTGGGAAACTTGCTTTTGAAACGTCTGTCTTTTGTGTGGTGCAACTTTCATGTATAATTTTGTTTACACTCCAATTTATATTTTCATTAAACAACATACACACACACACACAAAAAGAACAAACACATGCAAACAAACACACGCACACGCACACATACAGATCTTTTCTGGGCAGCTATAGCCCATAGCGGGTCAGCCACCGCCCTTTACAGCATCTACACAAACAACTTCACTAACTTCCACGACTATGTGCGATCGCTGGCGGCCACAGTAAACTGCAGCAACAGTAGTAGTAGTAGTAGTATTAATAGTAATAGTAGTAGTAGTAGTAGTAGTAACAGTAGTAGTAGTAGTAGTAGTAGTAGTAGTAGTAGTAGTAGTAGTAGTAGTAGTAGTAGTAGTAGTAGTAGTAGTAGTAGTAGTAGTAGTAGTAGCAGTAGTAGCAGTAGTAGCAGTGGTAGTAGTAGTAGTGGCAGCTACGATATGGCGACCATCAAAGAGTGCTTGAAAAAAACGCCCTATGATGATTTTGTAAACAGTAGAGAGAAGGTTTGTTGATTTTTGCCTCTGTGTATTTTTGTTTTTGTAATTTTCCACGGAGAAATATTCCGATTTATCAATGTTAATAACATTAAATCATGGAAATCTATGTGTATACGTGAGACCAAGTGTGTGTGAGGTAAGGGGTAATTTGGCTGGGCCTTCAAAGTTAATGGCCACTCTAGAGACGATTCTTACAATGTTTGGATATTAAAATGTACATCAAACCCGTGTTGTCAAATGGCTCTTACTTACAGACTCTACACATATCTGTGTGTATATCACAAGTATCAATGTATCATATGTATCAATATCTTTTTTTTTCAGATATCATTAAGATTAGTTTCTGTTGCTACTTTTTTAAAATCGCTTTTTATAAAAATAAGAACATAAAATGGTGGAAAAGTATTCAAAGTTACCATAATGAGAATGATACTGCAACAAATTTTGGTGTACAGAACAACAGAAGTGTTAAAAGTACCTAGAAGTACAAGCAAAAGTATCGCAAAAATACGAACAAGATGCCATTTTTATGTATTGTGTGTTCTTAAATAAGGATTGCGTTACGGGAAACGAGCCATGCCGAATGCTAATTACTTTGATGCATGCACATGACAAACATAAAATGACTCTCTCTTTTTAATTTTTTCATTCATGAAAAATAAAATAAAATAACTACACACACATACACACATATACAAACACATACACACATGTACAAACACATACACACACGTACAAACACATACACACACATGTACAAACACATACACACACGTACAAACACATACACACACATGTACAAACACATACACACACGTACAAACACATACACACACACGTACAAACACATACACACACACGTACAAACACATACACACACACGTACAAACACATACACACACACGTACAAACACATACACACACACGTACAAACACATACACACACACGTACAAACACATACACACACACGTACAAACACATACACACACGTACAAACACATACACACATATACAAACACAGACACACATACGTGTTTTAATGTTGTTTTCGCACGATCCATATTAACGATACATTCAATCATACCCTGGTGTGCGTAATACGCGTTGAATTTTATAAATATCTTACCTACGCACACACACACAAACAAACACACAAACAAACACACAAACAAACAAACACACACACATACACACACAAACAAACAAACAAACATACCTCTTGAACATACATACCTACATGAGAACAAACCTAGCCTTACATACAGGCGCACATTCAAGCTCATATATTTATTAACACACACACACACACACACACAAACAAATAAACATACAAACAAACATACAAACAAACATACAAACAAACATACAAACAAATATACAAAGTAAAAAACATTCCAAATGTAGCGATGCTCTGAGAGTATTGATAACAAACTAGTAGAAGTCATTTTTGCAATTTTAAATTTTAAAAATTATTACGACTACTACTACTACTACTAAGAATAATAGTATTATTATAACCAGCACACCCACACACACACAAACACACACACAAACCCACACACATACCCACACACACACGCACAAACGCATAGCTTCAGCAGCGTTAGAATTTTTGGCGGTAGTCAATAACAACAATAATAATAAGATTGTAATAATAATAATAATAATAATAATATTAATAATAACAATAATAATAATATTTATATTAATAATAATAATAATAATGCATATACGCCCAAAGTGTGTTTTTTGACAATTTTTCAATCTGATCTTCCGAATGTAGAGAACGAGGCAGTTTTTATTCGTTTTTATGGATTATCATTATTATTTTTTGTTGTTGTTGTTGCTGTTTTTGTTGTTAGCGTTGTTTTTGTTGTTGTTGTTAATACTGTTTTTGTTGTTATTGTTGTTGTTGTTAATACTGTTTTTGTTATTTTGATAACCATGGTGCATCGCTTGTTTATCAGATGTTCATCATATTGCGAAGCGTAAATTAAGATTTTTTATTATTATTATCGTAATTATTATTATTATTATTATTATTATTTTATTAATATCATTAATTACCATCATCAAAATTATCATCATCGTCGTCGTCGTCTTCATCATCATCATCTCACAAACAATCAAACATTTAGAAGTCGTAAGACACACGCACGCACACACACACGCACACGCACACACACACACATACATATCTGCTGGATTTGTTTGTTTGTATGTGTGTACGTATGTATTATTTCGTGTGTCAGTTTGTAAATTTGTATTTGTATTTGTAATGTATGCATGTATTTAAATGTAAATGTTTGCTAATCAATGTATGTATGTAAACATCCATCAAAAAATATAAAGCAAACAAACACACACATACATGCAAACAAGCATACATGCAAACATACAAACACACTTACAAACATGCATACGATTATTGCTTAGCATTCATACCCAATCAGTGCATGGAACGAGATGAAATAATGTTGGAATGAAATTTGCTTGTTTGTATGTATGTATGTATGTATGTGTGTATGTATGTATGCATGTATGTATGTATGTATGTGTGTGTGTATGTATGTATGTATGTATGTATGTATGTATGTATGTATGTATGTATGTATGTATGTATGTCTGTATGTATGTATGTATGTATATGTGTATATATGTATGTATGTATGTATGTATGTATGTATGTATGTATGTGTGTATGTATGTATGTGTGTATGTATGTATGTATGTATGTATATATGTATGTATGTATGTATGTATGTGTGTGTGTATGTATGTATGTATGTATGTATGTATGTATGTATGTATGTATGTATATGTGTATATATGTATGTATGTATGTATGTTAAAACCAAATCAGCGATGAGTGACACTAAACAGTCAAACATCTGAAAAAATCGGTTAACAATTGATATCTCGTTATTCGCTCACGTCGGCGTTTAATTGAACATTTTCGGTAACACAGACGCGCAAAAACCTTTGCAGCAAACAAGATATATGATTCATGGCGAAAAATAGCTCTCTGCTGTCGCCGGACCTGCCACTTATCATTTTGCAAATCTTTTTAAAAAATATTGAAGTGTTGTTGTCCATCGGGCCAAGAAC